AAAAAACCTGAAATTGTTTGAAATGATACAAATTACACATCACGTGCTGATTTCTGGCCAAGAAATCTTTGAATTCTTTCCGTTTAACAGTCGTAACATATCGGCTAAGAATCCTTAAGTGTTGTCATCCGAAGCTATTATTGACGACTCTGAAGGTGGACCTTATCAATTATAACCCGTGAGACCTACTTAAATAGCAGTCTTACTGGCGGAATAATCAAAAATTGACAAGAAGTCATCAGTAATTAGGGGTTGCGGGAAATAGTTGCCAATTGTTTTGGAAAGTAATGATTACTGGAATTAGTTGGGAATGTTTCTTTTTCTAGAATTTGTTCCTCGAATCATAGCACTGATCGCATCGTTTATAAGTGCGATGACTAGATGAGAGACAATGAATCTATGGATGGCATAACAAAAGCGGTGAATCCGTTACCTCTAGGCAGCTGAAATATGCTGTTGCGATAACTGTAGATTGCTGAGTCTTTGACATTATTCAAAAAAGTATCTAATTGCTTGCCCCCCTTTGTAGACATCGATGAATGCCAGGAACAATCGGACGGCTGTGCTTACGGTTGCGAGAACCTTCCAGGTGGCTTCCGGTGCTATTGTCCGCCCGGAATGCTGTTGGCTGAGGATAAACTTTCCTGTACCACCTGTGAGTTAACCTACTAATGCAGATGTTTCACTTTCTTCTATAGAACACTTAATATACAGAAAGAATAGGTTATTTGTCGTACGATTTACCATAGTGGCAACAAATGTAATAGCTCAGAGCCCAGACACGTGTTTCACCGGTTTTGTTTCTCAACATGACGCAGTTGTAAGGGTTTTTGAGTCCTTCAGGACTAACTTACTGTCACTGCAATACTACCATCTCCCTGATTCGTCAACGCCACATACAGATTTACCACCATTCCTATGTCACGTGTGACCTTGTGGCATAATTTGGGGGGAGAGCATATATCCGGTTCCGATCATGATCCATTTGATTTTTACCCCTGTTTCGGTCTGCAGTTAAATACGCTTCGTTCTTCTGACGCCCATGGATGAAGCTTCTCCATATACACATAATCAGCATCATTGGTGGTAGTATTGATTTCGGCCACCACTCCATTTAGGATTGCTGAAGGTCACACTGACCCAACGCTGATCTCAAGGTCATTCGTTCAGCTGCCC